AGTGTTTTATATTACATTGATTAATCACATATATATAATTAATCAGTGTAATATAAAATGATATCAGTTGAATTCGAAATGAATAATTGAAATTCATATTGTATTAATTCAAAGTTTACTATTTATACCATACTTAATTAATATTAAGCTGATATTAATTGCAAAAAAAAAAATCATACTCAAAATTGCCAATTTAAATTGAACTATCGAAATAAACAACACTTTTAATTTAATGCATTAAAAAAACGAATTTCATTCTATAATTGTTTCCAAAATCAGTAAGGAAAAATTGATTTCAAAATGAAAGAAAAATTATTTTAATTTAATAAATTTGTATTCATTCCCTTTTACCCAATTAATTACTTCCATTATATAATTAATAGCATAAAATATATAAATTTAAAATTTGGTATAAAAAATTAAACGAAACAAAAAGATTTCCTGAAATTAAAGAAATCAAAAAAAAAATCCATTTCATTTTGTAAATTCTTATATGATATAACTAACTCATAATATATTATTTGATAATTAAAAAATTACAAATTAAAATAAATCAATTTTACAAATTTCTCATTTCAAAATATTTGCTTAAAATTAGAGAATTTAAATGATAAAATTAATTTTATTTTACAAAGCTGTCATCATATGTTATTGATTGTAATCTTTCAGATGGCGTATTATGGATCAAGGATGTGAATTATTGTTAGAATTTCGGACATGTACCGAAACTCTTAATATTACCGCATGTATTCTGCCAAAATCAATTGAACTTTGGAATAGTATTGAATTATATACATGCCAATTATTAATGCCATCGATTAAAGAATATAAAAGTTGTTTTGCAAATGCTCGAAATGAACAATGTCCAATTGAGTAAGTTTAATTATTGATTTATCTAAAATTTACTTTTTAAAAATTTCATCAAAAAATTTTCTCTTCATTTCTTTCCTTTATTATTATTGAATTGTTTTAATTGAACGCTAATTTAAATTATTCATTTAAAAATTGTCCTTAATTTTTTTCAAATCCTTTTCTTTAGCGCCCAATTTATGATGATACATTTCGAAATCTAAGATATCCATTCCAAATTGAATGTCAAAATTTGAATTATTTCAGTTAGAAAGACGAGAGAGGGAAAAGAAAATTACTATTTTATTTCTCTAATTATATTATCATATAAACAAAATTCTCTAATTATACTGTCATATAAGCGCAATTCTCTAATTATATTATCATGTAAGCATAATTCTCTAAGAATAATATCATATAAGCACAATTCTCTAATTATATTATCATATAAATTTAAAAATAAATTTTTTGTTATTGCTATTTTTAAACTTTCACGAAGAATTTTTTGCCTAATTTTTAAACTATTGTAATTTTATCAATTGATACTTTTATTATCAAATTTATTATCAATGCTATCAAATTTTTACAAAAATAATCATTGCTTAATGAATTGCTGAATTTTATTTATATTAATAAATATTAGACTGCAAAAGATAAACGACATTTTTGCAAGAAAAGAAAATTAAATTTAACAAATTGTATATTAATGTTAAAAGTGATCTTTGAACCAAAAATTATTTCAAATTTTAGTTGCGAAACGAAAAAAAGGTGCAATTTTATATGTTGATAAAGAAGGGAGTGATAAATTGATAAGAAAATGATATTTAGAATTGATAAAATTCCTTCAACAAGATAGATATTGATACTAAAAATAGAAATGGAAAAAATGATTATTGATAACGCTAATAATAAGAAAGCGATACATTATAAGGATAAGTAAAATAATACAAAATTTTCAAATTCTCCGGAATCATTTCAACTACTGTCATTCTAGTTCAAGGTTAAATATTTCTATGATTCATTTCATTTTAATTGTTAATAAGAACCTATCAGTGCCATATATCTAATTGAAATATTTGAAAATTATATCATATAATTTTTCAAAATTGATAATTTCAAAATTTGTATTTCTTTCTTAAAAAATATGCAAATAATTTTGCTCATTTATGCATAATCATATTATCAATAAAAATGAATGAGAGAGGAAGAGAAAAGTGATAAATAGTAAAGTATAATTTATATATATGATGTTATCATAGGTATCTTTGGTACTTTAGTTTAAGTCTAAATTAACTTATCATTCAAAAATTAGCTTATTAACGTAAGAATTAGCATAAAATTAATTTATCAGAGAAAACCACTTGAAAATTAACTTATCAACGTAAAAGTTAACTTATCAAAAAAGAAATATCAGCATAAAAAGATTACTTAAAAATTAACTTATCAATTGTAAAAGTTACTCGAAGTATATGCTGTAAAAGCTACTCGAAACATAAAAGATCATTTAAAAATTAGTTTATCAATATTAATTGTAAAAGTTACTCGAAATATGTTTATCGATTTTTAGATATCGTTTTTTAGGCTATAAATATGTTTATAAATTCAATTCAATTGAATTTTTGGCAAAGAATTAAATTACAAAAAACAAAACCTATCAACGAAAATAATTATTGCAAATGAAATATTCGAATGATTCATAATTATTTTGCAAAAAAGGAAATTAAGAAGGAATTCTTTTAAAACAAAAATAATTCTCAATTTAATAATAGCAAAGATAAAATGTTGAAAATTTAAAATCGTATTGAATTAAATATACAAAAGAAATTATTTAAATTTTTAATTGGGAGTATAGTTTTGCAATAAAATTAAATACTATAAATTTATTGATAAATTTGATATAATCATTCATAACAATTTTCTTTTATCATTTCCATTCCATCATTTTATCAATAGAATAGTTTATTCTTCTTTTTAAAGTGATAAAAGTGATAAATGAAAATTAATTCTTCCAAGATAGCATATTAAATAATGTTGAAAATAGAGAGAGGGGATGAAGGAAGAAAAATTTTAAAAATGAGTGAAATAATTATTGAGAGATATTTTCAGCAATGCTATCAATAATAAGCATGAACCAGCAATATGTCGTATTCTATCATCGATAAGATCTGATTTACGTTGTGTTCAAAGAAATGCTCGAAATAGCTGTACAACAAATGCTTTAGAAATGATTGAACCACTTGCAAGTGAAACGGATCATACGTATACACAATTGACTTGTGCTTATATTGCATTATCTTCATCTGCTAAATCTACGGGTATATCGGTTATTTCATTTGTTTTTATTACAAATAAACTTTTGTTGTAATAAATAGAGTTCCATGAAAAAGTTCAAAACAATTTAATTCCATGCAATATTTATGTAAATAATATATATTATTATGTACCAGAGTGTAACAATAAAATACGGTAATGAAATTAACAATAATAATAATCAATAATAATGTCAATGAATGATAGTATTAAAGTATTTCATAATTTATGACACTGCAAAGTTAATTTGTGGGGTCTTAATTAATTATCAAATTACCAGTTTATAAGTAATTAATAACAACAATAATGACAATAATAATAACAATAATAGCAATGATAAAAGTAATAATAATGATAGTACAGTAATAATAAGAATAGTTTATTAATCTACCATTGACTATTAATTAAAGTAAATTTAATAGAAATTCGATCATCAACTGATAAATATTTTACAAGATAGCGTGGAATAATTTCTGATTTGAAATTTAAAAGATAAAAAAAAAAATTGAAAATAAAATTTGAATATATTACATTACATTTTTTATGTACAATAAAAGAAATATAATTATATTTAAGTATCATTTTAAGATAAAGATGCATAAAAATGAAGTTTATTTAAATCATATATTTAAGGTATTGTAACTCTTTTAAGAGTTATGCAAAATGATAAAACGTTATGATATGTCAAAATATAGCAATACGTTATGATATCATAAGATGATATGATATGATATGATATGATAATACATAGATTAGATAAACTGATGCAGAAATTTAAAATTTTTTCTTAAAAATAATAATAAAAGATTGTTTTATAATACTTATTAAAATAATTTTTTCAGAATTTATTACAATTAATTTTAGGTGCAGTTAGTACCAGCTTAAAAGATGATGGCATACCATACAACATACTATATGTGTTTAGTAATGTTAATAAGATTTGTTCACAAATTATTGATGAAGCAGAATTGAAACCAATCTATCGTGTCATTTGTGAGCATCAAAATGAATTATTACAACAAAAAGAATGTTTTATTAATGGTTCATTAGGTTTAGCTCGATGTAATCAAAAGGTATACATTCTATTACTATTTTTATTACTAAATATTTTTACTAATTAATTATTAATAGATTAATTAATATTTTATTATTGAATTTTTGATGTAATAAAATTTATTGTTTTCTAAGCAATCTATTTATACAATCAAATATGTATGTGTTTGTTCATTTGTTGTACAATAAACCTACTACGATATAAATATATATGTAAATAATTATTCTCAATTATAATAATATATACATATAAGATAATGATAGTAATATTCTTCACGATTAATAATAATAATGATGAATATAAGATTAATAGCAATAATATAATAACTATATAT